TGGGAGAAATTAGTGAATTGTAGGAAAAAATCCTACAGGGAAGGTCATGGCTATTTATTTCTGATTGGGGCCTCAAATAATGACTTTGAATTAACATCTGTGATTGCTGTAGCGGTAAGAAGACATTGATGCACAATAATGCAAAAACCACTTCATGGTGATGGGGGTTGTGAAGGAAATAATGGGTTTTTGACACACAGAAAAATACATGTCTTTTTCTGCCAAAGGGTCATTTGCATGTTCAAGGTGAATGGTGTTACTGGAGGGAGACAGGGCATCTGTTCAGTCTGCGACTGCTGCTGTTCAGATTCGTGTTTCATAGATACTCAAGTCCTCATTTACTCTTGTTGATACATATAGCAGGTAGTTTGGGCTGGAGGGGAGAATATATGCTACAAACTTGTCTCTTTTTTTGCCTTTGCAGTGTACATTTGAACAAGATTTCTGTTCGGTAGCACTAATTTTGCTGTTAACTAAAGGCCAGACTCTCCTGCTCTGCGCACAAAACCAGCAGCATGTGTTGTGCGGTGGGAGGTAGGGTAGAGGCTGGAGTAGAAGTGTTAGAACAAGCCCAGCACGGTAGGTGGCAGAAAGCACAAGCACAGCAGCTAGCTTGGCCTGCCTCAAGATGGTGGGAAATCTCCAGCTGGAACAGCTTTAATGATTAAATGAGGTGTCTGGAAAGTTTTGCACAATGTGAGCTTGATGGACTTCAGGACATATTGCAAAAGCCATTTATCTGATGGCTTCAGTAGCTGTTCTGCAAGGCTTACCAGGGGAAAGAAATGGTCTTCCTTTGGAGTTTTGATATGAGCTAGAGTGAAGGTTGTGGGGGTGTCTGGGTTTTTCACTGTTCGTGTTAAACTGCCCTCCCTGTCAGAACTTAGCTCTTGTGAGATGTTATGAGGTATAGAACTTGAATTAAGAACACATCTTTTGGCCTAATGGAGAAAAGACCTGAAAACTCTGGGGCAGGTGATGAACTAAGGGCACTTTGTTTTCTTGACTGGTTGAGTTAATCTACTATTTATATGTAATTATGTTTTGCTGCTGGATGGTTATCATTTGTACCTGTGAGCCAAAGTATCTCTGGGGCACTCTGACCAGTACGTGGATGAGAAAGCAGTAGCAGAGTCAGTTTTGCCATGTTTCCAGAGGATGAAAATTCCTTCAAGAGCGGAGGAAGTCTTGCCAGGAGCGGAGCTGCTGGAGGTATCTTTGCTCTGTCTTTGCACTGCTCTGGTAAATTTGCAAAACCTCCTCTGCCAAGAACATGTATTGATACTACTGTATTTTTTTTCCCCTGAATTTCTTCTACATAACTTGGATCTAAAGTGAACATATTTTCAGATGTGCCCAGAACAGTTATATAACAGCAAGAGAAATGACACACAAAGAGCTTTGTGCCCATATACACACAGACTGCCTGCAGTCATAGCTGCATGTGTATTTTCACAGTATATTTTTGTTAAGGAGGGATATATTGAGTTCACAGAATGTTAGATTTCCATTATTATATGTAATTCCAAATAATAACAACAAAATGAGTTAAATTAAGTTCAAAGCAAAGCAAGCTGTATGTATTTGGAGGAGGCCAATCTGTTAGGTTCACTATAGCTTCTCCATCACTCATGAATCCCAAACCACATTCTATTTGGGCAATAAATGTTAAAACAGCCAAAGCAGTTCTCTTAACAGTAGTCAGGAATCAATACAGAGGCACTCGAATCAGCGATTTCTTGACTGACAGTCAATCTCATAAATGCTGTAATATGGTTTTGAACAAAGGCCACAGAGTGAGCCATTTGATTTATAAGCTGGCATTGACGACAAGGTGAAGGACACTGTCACGGTTATGGTGTTAAGCTTAGCCCAACTACAACTACTTACTTTCAGTCAGGGGTACGATGCCCTACCTGGCCAAGCTGTTCACAAGCTGTTTGATACTCAGCTCGCTGACAGAGGTCTTTCACACGCTGGTATTTGGGTAGAAAGTTTTCTTCTTGGGCATCTACCTTCTCATTCTCTCTCTTATGCAGCAGTTTACTGGAAACAAAATAAAACTGTTTTTGCATTTATATATATACATACAGTTTGCAGACAAGTCTCAGGAGTAGGTTATCTGCCAAGTCCACAGCATCACATGGTGGCCAAAATTTAATAATCCAGTAGAAACTAGCACTTATCATCTCTGATAACATACAAATTACTCATATCATGCTCTCAGGGATGTACAAAACCATGAACCACACTGTCTTGTTTTTGCATGTCTGATTGACAGGCAGTTACAACAGTTGATATAAAGAGACCATATCCTCCTCACTCTACAGCGCTGCACTCAAAACCCCTTCAGGCACCATGTTATGTATTAAGGCAGAGGCACAGAGGAAATGGCCAGCAGATGAACACCCAGAGAGGAAATGTTGTTCATGCTCCCATGATACAAGCAGGGGGGTCAGGGGGCAGCAGCTGAAAGAAAAACGGGATGCCTTTCCACCTCTCAATCCAAGTAAAACTCCCCTTCCCCCACCCAACAGCACATTTATGCAGGCTGTAGGCAAGGCCATACATTCCCTCCCATCACACAACCACTGCCATCAGGCATGCTGCAGCCCTGTCCCTGCTGGCACAGCTAAATGGCTTTAGGTCAGAGGCAGAGCTGCTGCTTTGCCTTTAGCTATTCAGTATCCTTCTACTTAAAAAGACTGGGCTTTGTGATTAACACTTTCCTTACCCTCTTTCTACTAGGAATGAGTCTCTCCACACCTTCATCTTTTTCTTTAAATGGAACCTAGGAGGAAACAAGGAGAGGAAGAAGCAATTCCCACAAAACCAGTAATCAGCTCATGCCCGTTTTCTCTCCCACATCTCAATTCAGATGAGAAACACTACACAGAACTGCACAAGGGGATGTCCAGCTTTATGAAGCAGGCCCATATGCCTCTTCAGTGCAAATCATGAACAAACATAGGACAGATTTGTTGTCACAGGGACAAAATCCACAACAGATTCACACAGTACAACTATTCCAATGTAAGCATGTTTAAGACACAGGGGATTAACTGAATTGTTCTTGATCACAAAGGATCACAAATTAAATCAGGATTTCCTGATTCCAGTTTGGGCTCTTAACCTGCATACTACCCACAAGTGTCCTATTCTAAGGCACCTGCTCCTTTCCCCCTCTCCTCCACCCAACTACTTATAAAGCAAAACTCCCCTTTTCGTGCTGATTTTCTCTAGCAAGCATCCAGCCTAATTCTCTTCCTCAGTTGTTTTCCAATGAAAGTACTGATGGAAGGTGTCAAATAATAACTGTGTAATTCTGAGTGCTAGCCTGTCTTTATATTATAGTCTGCTACACAACCAACCCTTTCAACTCAATTATTCTCCAATTTATTCAATATGAAATGCTTTGTTACAAATGATGACACAGAGGCATTTACTATCATATAGCCAAGCCCTCTCACTGCTACACAGATTACATTTAGTATATCCAGATGACATATGTGCCATATAGCTAGTATATGAACATGACAAAATGAAGAGAAGTAATGGAACTCAGTCACATATTGCCAAATAGGTTTTTAGATTTTCTAGTGAATTATGTACTCATATAGATGGTAATTTTATTATATTTTCTTTTAAATTTTCTGCATGTTGCTGAATAGTTGCTCAGTCTTCTGTACAGATACATGCATGTTTCCACACACATTTCCATTTCTTACCTATTCACTGGTCTCTCAGAATCCAGAAGCTTTAGAATGGATTTACCATCCATATCAGACGGAATATCCAGTCCAGCAATATCGAGAATTGTAGGTGCGAGATCAATATTCAACACAATGTGAGGATTCCTGAAAAAATATACGATAACCTGGTTTAACGTCTGTGCAATGTTACCAAGCAACTCCAGCTCTTCCACAGAGACCAGGCATCTAAAAAGTCTTATATTGTGACATCTGCGAAGAAGGCAAGAGGACACCATCCAATTCCCTTCCACGGAAGGAATTAAAATGTAAAATATAGGTAAGTTGCATAATCTCAGGAAGGACTAATATGAAAAGATTTAAAGTTTAGCACAGAGCGTTTTTGAGAATGCGAAGTAGTTCATAAGGCAAAGTTAGTTAATTATTGCAAAAAAGAGTTCAAACTTATTTCAAAACATGAGAAATCACTGGAAAATCTCCTTGGGTGTCTTACAGAATCAGTGTCTGCCAAATATGCTGATGACTTTATTAAAAAGTAGATTTGGCAGGTAGCACAAGCTTTATCTGTTTCAAAATATGGTATAGAAATAAGTACCTCAGCTCATATCACAGCAAGCATGTTCTGAAGAGAACATAAGTATACTGCTAGACACTACAGTAAAGAACTAAAAGTTGCTGTTAATATAGAATGTGAGACAGAAAAAAAAAAAAAAAAAAGGGGATCAGGAAAGTAGAGAGGAAATAGTTATGGAGAAAAAAAAAAAAAGAGAGAAACTAAAAGCACATCTTTAATTGAAATAATATCAGTCTTCCCAAGTGCATAGTTATCCACTCTGCAAACACTTAGCCAAGCCCTGCTGTGTAGCAGTGTATGGCATACGTTCCTCAGCCACCGCAGTGACCATGACAATATCTGAACTCACACTGGCCTCAAATTTGGTTAAAACACTGGCATCAACTCCTGAGTAGTACAGACAACTCCTATCCCCAAATCCCCTGAACTGCCACCGCTAAATATGAGCTAGTGCATGGATCAGAGCATCCAGCTGCACAGCCCAGCAGTCAGTACCTAACAGAATGCCCAATTTCTAACTGTGTGACTTGGTTTTACTACAGGTCTGGTTTTGCAGAAGTGTCTTCAGCTTATGTTGAACCTTACAAATTCAATTCAAATATGTTGTGTAATTACAATATTACATGCATACATACTGTTTATCAGCCGTGTACTATTTCTTTTCCTTATTAAAAAAAAAAAAAAAAAAGAAGGCAGGCACTCAATTTCTTTAAAGTGGGGAAAAAAAAAGCAAGTGAGCATACGGGTATACAGTCTTCTACACTGCACTGAAGATAAAGAAACACCGTGCTATGATTTGCAGGCACAAAGGAAGGATGGGACCAGATGGGCTGCTATGCATGTCAGTGCAGAATCCTAGCTCAAAATACAGGACAGAAGAAAGCTGCTAAATTCACACTAATTAATGAGACACCATTTAAAAATTACTACATTTTTGAGTGAGCGAGCAAACAGGCACTGACAAGAGCATGGATGATGAATTAAATTGATGTACCTAATTTGATTTTAATTACTAATAATTGTGGTGTAGCATATTTGGTAATAGAAATGAAGGCTTAGTAATGACTTGCTACAGTGACTGCTATTAAATCTTCGTTGGTATCAAAAGGGAGTCATGACAATTACTCTGCAGGAAAAACATAAGGTTCACGCAAAACACAGATGATTGATATTTAAAGAAAATCAGGCTGAAAGAGAGGATTAATTTATTATCTGATATATTCCCCCTCCAAGGTATTTTATCCTGTTCTTCCCATTTGTTGTACTGTGATGGGCTCTGTTCTGTCAGACTCTGTCAGGCTGACTCCCCTAATTCTAACAGAAATATTTTTTCATCTTCAGAAGCCACTGAAAAATAAAATTCACTGGGAAGGTTTCACAAGCTTTTATGTATGTCTGGGTGTAAAGATCCTTGAACTAGAGCAGACAAGAGGTGGCTGGTCTCTATCATTCCATGTTGTAGAAAAACTAGCTCTGTCCACTTGGGGCATATTAGCATTGCCTCACCAGTAAGAGCAAAACCAGCAGCTGAAGAGAAAGACCACGTTCTTAGAAGACTATCCCAGCTCACTTGAAACTGTCTGCTGCTGCAGACAAACTTCCTTCAGTGCTGAGGTAATATGTTTAATTCCACCTGAGAATCCCTCCTCTGCTCTTTAGAGAAGTAATATTATTTATTTCACATGTGTAACTGCTGTAAAAATTAGACACACAGGGCAGTATCTACAGAAGTTAACATTTTTGTGCCTACTGATAATGTGCATCAGTGAATTTAACCCGCAAATGGAATGAGATTTTTTTATAATTATTTGCCACTGTATGACATACTAGATCTAATCCTCTGCGGTAAGGAAAAAATTGTGTGGAAGACTCTGTGTGTGTTAATTATGCTAAAACATGCACACTGATATAAATAAAAGGCAGCAAATTATGGCACTCTGTCCAAAATCATTACTTAAGTGCAAATATTTGCTATTGAAATAATTGCTTAGAAAGTGTATTTACATAATTTCTTAGCTGATCAAAGCTACCATTTTAATTAACAGTCATATTCTGCATGCTTGCGTGCATCTGACAAACAGCCCTAACCATGTAATCTCAAAGGATGAACCAAAAAGAATCTTTTGTGGATGATAATATATGAACTATTATGTACATTCTTCCTCATAAACTGAAACAAGTGACTCTGCTTTAATGTTCAGCAATAATGTGGCAGTGAACATTACATAATATGAATTTTTTTACCTTGAAAATGTCAGTTATGTGTATTATTTGCACCCCTCAAAAGGAGGCAAATTAGCATTTCCTAGATTAGACATATTTCAAAGTGGCTTTTTCAACTACATCCACAAAATGTAGTGGATTGTGCTGCACACCTACACAAACAAAAAAGCAGTGGCATAAAACTTTGATTGTTATACCAGCACATGTTATCAGTTTTGCATTTTGAGCAGACACATCTTTCTGCCAAAGATGAGCAGGATGTCAGTCAGGATGGGCAGAACTTTGTGTCTCCCTTTGGATGTCAAGTCAATACAACTAGAGATGTGAACATAAAGGATTTTTCTCATCACTAGATACACACACACACACGCCAAGAACTTACAAGGACCCAGCCTCCACATTTGGCCCTCGGACATAGAAAGGAACTCTGATATCAAACTCATATGGCATGGACTTTCCTTTCACCAGCCCAAACTGACCAATATGATAACCATGGTCCGCTGTGTATATTATATATGTATTGTCCAGTTCACCTGTTTCAACCAACGTATTGTATATCTGAAAAGAAAGCAAAACAAAATATGAAATTCATTTCACTGAGTAGTACTATATGTAGAATACTGGTTACAGTTTCTGTCGATGTGTAGTATACTAATAAATAACAACAGTTCAGAATGGCACCAAGTTATCACAATGAACCATTCTGAATAATCCATAACCACGTGGTAGTTTTACCGACTGAATATTGTGGCTATTACAAGACAAAATTCTGCTTCCTATTTTAAGGTAAACACATTAGCAGGCCACATTTTCAAAAGTGTTTGAGTTCAGTATTTTACATGAGAGCTGTCAAGATAGTACTAAATACATACAGTAATAGAGATAAAAGTTTAAAGATTATATGCTTTTAAAATTTTCTCTACCTTTATCTTTTTCCTGCAGCAAACAATTTTATTAAAATGACAGCATTTTGAATCTCACACTTATTTAAGCAACACTCAATGAACTTGCCTTCAGACAAACAAGTCCCCACTAGGCAGAGTAATATTTGCAAAATCTTCTCCAGATAAATATCACTCAGTCATACTCTCTCACTAGCTGGAGAACTAATATGGAGAATTAAGAGGAGTTTTAACTTTGTTTGTGGTTGCTTCTATGGATCTAAATGAGAATCTTTATGTGAAATGTACCAACGAGCACTAGAGATCAATTTTTATGTGACATTTTCACTTGCAAAGGTACGAACACGGTGGGGCACCACCAAAGCAGTGCCTTACATCCAGAACACATCAGCACAGAAGAAAACAAACTCAGTTCTTGTTTTACTGTTGTTGTTTTAGTTTGCGGGGGTTTTTTGTTCTTTTTTTGGGTTGATATTTTTTTTTGTCTGCTTGCTTTAAATTTTGAAAGACCATTAGATGCATATAATTTAGTAAAAAAATCAGGTTAACTTGGCGATTACAACTAAAAAAAACACCCAAATGATTTTGCCTGCAGTCAATCACCCAAAATGAAACCACTTTACTAAATAGAAAATCAAAACAGTGTAGTAAAATAGCTGATCTCCCTAATGCTGGTATCTGATCCATCTAAACAGGTTCATTAATATGAAGTAGGGATCATATTTGCCTGAATCGGTAATTATAAGACATTACTAACAAGTTGATGCAATGCCATCCATATAATCTCATCTTTGCCTTACAGTACTCCTCTTATTTTTAATGTTCTACCTTTTCTGAATAAGAATGTCAAAAGATAAGCAGTAAATTGCAACACCCTTAAATCTGCCTTCCTACAACTAGAAACTCATTATTTTTTAGAATAACTTTTAAGTAACTCAGATGTCTGTTCAAGACACCCCACTAAGAGATTTCATTGTTACATAATGCAGACTTAGTTTAAAAAAAAAAAAAATCAAATCTACCTATATATTTATTTACTTCTAACATTTAACATTCTGGGCCTTGTTTACCATGGGATTATTTCAGTTAGGACTCCTGTAGCATCACTGTTTGCTGCTGCTGTTTCTCTTCTCTCAGAAACTCACAGGATCAGAATAGGCCCACAGTTACGTAGTTATTTCCAACCGGTTATAGGATGACGTTTCACTATCAGATGATACATTTTTAGAATTTATGATGTACATTTTTTTAGGTGATCCCTCCCTTTTCCCCTTAACCAGTAGTGGCTCTGTGGAAACAAATCACATCGCTTACATCGCCCAATTCATGGTACCTGTCTTTAGGAGATAAGGATCCTTACACATTGAATAGAGAAACAAAATGCTCAGAAGTGAAAGGATTACACGCTATCAAAAAAACTGATACAGTCCTCCTCCTCATTCTTTCCTCTTTACTTTCATATACAGCACAAATTGGAGCTTAACTCAAGAAACAAGCATCTGTTTAGCCAAAAAAAGTGACAGCTAATCTTACCATCTCCATAGACTCGTCCACAGACATGAGTGTTTGAAGGCGCTTTCTCTGCAGCATGTTGGTGAATTCCATGTGTATAGGTTTCATGGGACCTGTATACCTCATTATCCAGTGCTTGTCTGGGTTTGGAGCATAGTTATAACTGGGAGTGCTAAGGAACAGAGAGAATGCCACAATGTTTTAGCAGTGTAGAAAAAAGCCACAGTAATGTATACCAATGATTTCTATTTGATCAACACTACAGGACTTACTCTCTGAGGTACGTAAGAAAGTATTAAATTTACTTTGGAAAAGTCTTATACTTTCATGTTCTATATGAACAATGGGAGAATGAAAACAACTCTGTGGGGAATAAAAGCTATTAAAAGAGCAAATATACACTGGTTTTGCAGTGTCTTCAGCTTAACATGAATACATTTCAAGGCCAAGAAACTAGCCTCAGAAGTCTAACTCTGCAGTATGACCTGGATGAAGCATGTAACTATAGAGTTCCTATTCATGTAATCGTTCTGCTTTCATTCTGCCCGCATTAGCATCACGTAATATGGCTTGTGCAAGCTGTTTAACAGTAACTATAGAACTTGCTGAAATGGTACTACTGGGTTCTTTAACACTTTTTTAAAAATTCAACATGACTGGCTACTTGAATACTTTCACGCCTATGTACCCAGAGGAGCACAGGCACACTACCTAGTGGTATCAAATCGCGTGTGAGTTCATGGCAAGCAGAAGCAGATACATAGCCCAATTTTCAAGACCTGCCAAGAAAAGCAGGGGTGAGGGGAAATAGGATTGTATTTTGCTGACACCTTCCAACTCCTTTGTGATCATCAGAAACTTCAACTGAAGTCCCTGCAAAATTCCAAGTGCTGGATTCAATGTCCTCCTGGAATCTCACTGCCCCTCCAAGTCCTCATGATCTTGGGACACCATTAAAGTGATGAGGAGAGATACCATTGATTTACCATAATTTCATGTTATTGGCAGTTCCAGAGATTGCTTTTCTGTGGATAATCATGTTGCTCTGGGTTAGCTGGATCTAAAGATTTATTCTGATATATCATTACCATGATGTTGACTCTCTGAATCATCAACTCACTAGAAAGCTATATTATAGCTTACATTTGCAAGAAATATTACTTTTACCTATTACATCTATTCCTAAAAAGTTTATTATTTAAAAGTGAGAACTACCTTTGTCAATTTCTTCATACCCCTCATACAGATCACTTGAAGAGTTTAAAATATTAAAAATTACTTAAGAGATTTGTTGAGGCTTCCTTTCTTCATTCAAAGCAATAAACTCAGTCTACACAAATGCGCAAGCTGAGAGGGTAAGGCAGTAACACAGGAAAAAGTAGCAGATATTCAGTTATATTCTTCTTCCCAACACACAATTTCCTGATAAATTCAGCTCCTATTTGGCACATATCTACTGTTGGTTTTGTGTATGCCACAGCAGGGTAAGTTATTAAGATAAACAATAGTAATATAAGTTGAAACTTCTCCTCAAAATATTGTGTATCTAATACATCTTTGAATATGACAGGTAGTCTTCAGAGTTTTAATATAAATATGAAATTAATAATCTGACAGTGGAATGTTTTATGCCGAAAGCTTCTGTTAGATGCTATCTGAAAAATGTGCGTAGGTGGCAAATGGAGGCTTCTTCATATAGGGAGGAAAGGGCTGGTGTTTATTCTCTCTGTATTGTTAAAAGCCTCTTGAATTTCAGAACGTTATTGTGGCTGAAATAATGACATTGCTCCTTTGAAAATGCTGACAGTTATGGAAACTGTTGCTATGTGATGCCCAGAATGAATCAAAAATGCTTGGCAAACTCCTTTTCAGCTTACTTTGTGATTTCCTGGCTGATTTGAAACCTCCCACTGTTTAATCCAACCAAAGCCCATGATTTTCTTTGATTACTACAAATGTAACCCTCTTACACTTAACAGATTTGTCTGTCTTATGGGGAAAATACACAAATATAACATTCCTAGAAGTTGGTTAAGATAACCTCTTCAAATGTACCGAGAAGGTAAGTCCTAGTCTGATTGCATTTGACCTTGGAAAAGATGGGTGGTAAAATGCACCCTCTATAGAAATAACATTTCTGATCACTGTTAAAACTGCCTAGCTGCTGCGTTCTCTGCAGCTATCAGTATAGCAGTACAAAAAGAAAACTAGTCATGTAGCCTAGGGATTTGCTATGTGAATGCTGGTTGATGTGAATAATTTTCAAACATGGAAAGACTGCAGATTCACACGAAAAGGAGCTCCATAGAACGAGGGGGAGAGAGACTGCAGTACAGGGTGGAGTGGTCATACCAGCTAGTACATGTAATAATAGAAGCAAGAGAATAGCAGCATAAATTATCAACAGAAATACATACCAGAGTTCCCGAGCAAGAAGTACTCTGTCAGTCTATGTTAAAATCCACACCACTAACTTTTAGCTATTATTAGCAACGCTACACAATGCAGTATGTATGTCAACCAGTGTAAGCATTACAGCCGCACCTTCACTTTGCTGTGTGGATACAGCTCAAGAATCTGGTTGCAGACTGGTCAGCGCTGCGGCAAGAGGTACAGACACAAACCACATGTGCTGCCTTCTGATTCTGGGACTAGGCAAGCGCTTTGTTCAGGGTACTGCTTACCGCTCTAGGGCAATTCCTAAGTGTTCTACCGGTGTTCTGATCCTTCCCTACCATACCCACATGACAAACAAAACAGCAAGCACTGCCTACACCCCTTTATCATTGACAGATTTATCTGTCACTGAATGACTTCCTGGAATGTGAGAACAAGGGAAAAAATGGAAAGTAGAACCAGTTTGCGTATACAGTGAGGGAATGATGCATGTTCTGCATTTTTACATTTAATCTTAAAACCAGGCCAATTAAAACCCTTACAGATTATTATTACGTAGTGCTGGGAAAACTGTTTACAGTAAGATTGGCAGTTTCTTTGCACAAGATATACACAAAATCCTATTTTATGTTCATATCCAAAAAAACCCCACAGTTCCTTAATCACAGAATGGTTTGGGTTGGAAGGGACCTTAAGGATCTTCTGGTTCCAATGATCCTGCCATAAGCAGGGACACCTTCCACTAGCCCAGGTTGCCCAAAGCCCCGTCCAACCCAGCCTTGAACTCTTCCAGGGAGGGGGCAGCCACAGCTTCTCTGGGAAACCTCTGCCAGTGTCTCACCACCCTCACAGGAAAGAATTTTGCTCCCGGATAAAGAGTCCCTCCCAAGCTTTCATGTAGTGCCCTTTAAGTACTGGAAGGCCACTATAAGGTCTCCCTGGAGCCTTCTCTTGTCTTCTCCAGCTGAACACCCCCAACTCTCTCAGCCTGTCCTCACAGGGGGGTGCTCCAGCCCCCTGATCATTTTTGTGGCCTCCTCTGGACCCGCTCGAGCAGGTCCGTGTCCTTCTCATGTTGGTGCCCCCTGAGCTGGACCCAGCACTGCAGGGGGGGGTCTAACAAGAGCAGAGTAGAGGGGGAGAATCCCCTCCCTCAACCTGCTGGCCACACTGCTCTTGATAGAGCCCAGGACATGGTTGCTGGCTCACTAATACCCCCAAATATTTCTCCGCAGGGCTGCTCTCAATCCACTCTTTGCCCAGCCTGTATCTGTGCTTGGGATTGCCCCGACCCATGGGCAGGACCTTGCACTTGGCCTTGATGAACTTGATGAGGTTTGCATGGGCCCAGCTCTCGAGCACGTGCAGGTCCCTCTGGATGGCACATCCCTTCCCTCCAGTGTGTCACTGCACCACACAGCTCAGCGTCGTCAGTGAACTTGCAGAGGGTGCACTCAATCCCTCTGGCCATGTTGCCAGCAAAGATGTTAAATCTATTAGACACCTACAACATGTTAATCTACTAAAATAATTTCTTTCTTTACAAACAAAACTTGTTTCCACGAAGTGACACTTCCTGTGTAATTGTTATAATTTTACAAGTCACCTACAATTAAAAATAGTTTTGTGTAACTACTTTATAATCAGGAAGATAAATTTAGTTTGTGTGAAAAATAAAACTTAAACTATGAGCAAAAGACAGATGTAGTTTGTATTTTTCATTGGTGGCCTTACTCAAATCTTTCTACTATTTTTTATTTAACTAGCATAATTGTTACAGAACGTTGCTTTATAAATGATTATCATCTCTGAGATACAAATGCCTTCCAAAGGAACTTCTAATATGACTGAGGTCAATACTGGGTATAAGCTATGAGAAGCTGATCATTTGGCATTTCCGTAATTTTCATTTCAAAGAAAATAAATGAGCATAAGACAGCAAACAAACACAAAATACTGCATTGCTGTAGATCTAGGACACAGATTCTCTTTGGTAGCACAGCACAAAATAATGAAATATTTAACTCTAAGTTATGCAATACCTAGACAATAGAACAAAGGAAGCTTTTTCTCTCAGACTATTTGAAATAAAGTGAAAAAGCTCAAACAGATTTCACTGGACTTTAGACTAGCCCTGAGCAACTTCAGCTACCAATTGATTGTTACTTCCATCAGTTGTCAGTTGCTTCATAAATCCAAACTAAAACAGAATTCCCCTAAAAAAAAGCACATAGGAAGAAATTTACAAATGCTGCATGTCAGTGAAGGCATGAAGCCAGCAATTAGAAAAATATCGGAATGTTTTTCAGTTGTGCCAAAAGGTGATTTGGAAGAATGTTCATTTTATCAGCCTGTGAGGAGATGCTTGTAATGGAGCATTAGAGCGCTGTACCTGGAAAATGCCTCTGTGCTATAAACAAGAACCATCTCTTCACTGAGCTTATGAACATGTTAACTCAGGAACTGGGTGATACTGCTTCTGGGACCCACTCAAGACATTATATTAGGTCATGTACGGACATACCAGCTCATTCAGAAATAGCTTGTCTAATGTGGTGCTGCGGGCCTGTATTTCCTTTCTTTCCATATACGCAACAGGAGTAATAAGTATTGCATACTATCTGATATTTGGTAATACCCATAATACAATTTATACATGAGGGCAGGGAGATAGTTTCTTACCCTGAAGAGATTACAGCCCAAGAACCAGATTTTGATCCCCCTGCTCAAAAAACCACAGTGCTTTACTTCCCAAATAGGTTGTAACAGAGTCCAATGAATTCAACATAAATCTTTTCATTTATCTCCGTGAGCTACAATTCTGAGTTCAAGATGCAATAGCCATTCTCAAGATACTTGTACAAGTCTGAAGAGGCAAACCTCCCAATAATCTCAAAACTCTTCTTATACATTTGTGACAAACTTATGCCAGGTGTATTATAAAGCAAACATTGTTCCCCCAGAGGTACCCAGGACTTCTACACTCCTGAACCTGGAAATGAAAGGGTTTTACTTTTTCTTACATGTGTTGTGAGGCATTAGGAAAAAGATGTGAGTACTGAGGGGCTGAATCTTCAGGGCCGTGAGGAGCAGCATGGCTTATAACCATCAGTACAGGCCTGTGAGGATACATCTTCTTTGAGATTCTGAAGAAGGTAATACTGTCATTGGTAATCAGATCAGTTAGATAATCCTGCAAGTAGAAGCAAAAGTATAATGAGATACTTGAAAAATAATTTCAAGTTGGGGGGTGAGATAGGAAGGGGAGGTCTGAGGTATTATATGAAATAGAAAAAAAGAAGCTACTTCACTCAGAATGGGAAGAGGAGGAGGAGGGAGTTACAGATGCTGAAACTTCAAAAACTGAAATAAAATAATTCTTTCTTCACTACCTAGAAATATGAAAAGCAAGAGCTTCCTCTCAGAAATGAATGACATTAAAGAAGATCAAAAAGGACTCTTCCCAGTGTGTGTAATTACATCATTAAGATCACAATACTAAATACAGTGACCAGGTATTAATACAAAAAAAAAAAAAAAAAAAAAAAAAAAAAAAAAAAAAAAAAAAAAAAAAAA